AAGCTAAAAGACATTCAAGCTAAACTTTTCACTTTTGATGTGTCTCACAGGCTTGTTACGATGGCGGGTTTATTCGGATTTACTTAACATTTCGAAAGTTTCGTCGTCCTCGAGGTCTAGAAATGACCCAAAGCTTTAAGGCAACACCAGACATCTCCTCCAGCTTATTGTTAGCTAATTTCGGCCTTTCCTCTCTTTTCTTTCGCAAATTTTTACAGGGATGAATGCACTCTAAACCACTGCTAGACTTTCGCACCGAAAGTGACCGAAATCAGAGGACGAATGACCAATGTACTAGGAGATAAAGAAAGACATGTACTGTTTACCAGAGCTCTTATAATTAAAGTCGGCAACGTAGCACTCATTCCATAAGCACTCATTCTTATTGTTCACTAGTTGGCAAACCCGGCTCCGCCCGGGCCTGTCAATAATATATTTGTAATCAGCATGCTCGATTACCCCCCTGTGCCAAATCCCAGCCCTGTAGCTCAAATTTTGCAAAAAATCGATAAAATCGATATAGATCTATGACGAAAAGTAGCCTGTGACACCCGCCCGGCCCCGAAGTGTATGTGTGCCAAGTTTGGTCCGGATCGGTTCAGAAATGGAATTTTCTATTCGGAACATACGTACGGACAGACAGACATACAGACATTCAGCTTTATAAATAAGATTTCTAGGTTCTTTTCGAAAATCCAGAAAGCTTCCAATGCCTTTTGAGCAGAGATCTCTTGTTCATGCACTTCACTCTTCAATCTTTCTTTTCAAATCGAGAAAAAAACTTTCACATAGAAATTACATTCTTCCTTATGTGATTTTGAAAGGTATGTCATCACAACTGTTCTTGGTTGAGGATGCTATCACACTTACTTATTCTTAATCGCCCTCGTTTGGAAGATTACCATTTTGCAATATTTCCTCCCATACAAAAATCGTTGGTTTTTGAACGACATTAGAGTAGAAAGTCCGAAGATAATTGTTATTTCATTGTAAATGTTAGTTTTTAAAATAATCAAGTAAACGTCAAATTGCTTGTAGGCATCACACTTTTTGTGTTAGTGCGACTTTTGCGCCAGAAATTCGCTTAGTTTCTTCTGTTTTTGGACTAAAAGACGAAATCTAGCTTTACTCGTAATTGCATATGCCCTGGGTGCGCATAAAAATCAAGTAAGCAAGAAGAGCAGCGTGCTCATTAAAGAAGTGAGTAAGCAATAAAAGCAGCATCTATCGAATACTTTCATTTCTAGTGTCTCTACCCCCCCCCCTCCTCCATGACCTCAAAGTGCACTAGCGCCAAATCACTCCTCCGAATCCTGTAAAAGAGATTAAAGTACAGCTGAAGTATATACTCGAACAACATAAAAGGGTTAAGATACACTATATAGTGAAGAGTCTCATAATCCTTACTTTTTGAGCTTTGCTGACTAAAAATTCCCGAAATAATGTTTTTTTGCTTCTTGCCAACTTCCTCAAAATACAATACCTCAGTAGGGTGACAATAAGTCCAACACCTAGCGGTATAAGACTTTAGCTATAGGGCTGAAAATCATTTTTCTCTCATTAAACTCCATTCAAAATGTTTATTGGACCCTTTAGTGTCATCACACACTTAGACAAAACTGTTGCCTCTCACTGGTCGCGCAATCTCGCAAGTGGTGAAAGTGCACTTGGTTCCAAAACAACATTGAAAACTTCGTATACGATGTGGCAAGAAACCCCATCTCCGTCATGTTTTAACCTTCACTAAAAGCTTTTGCTCTCAAGATCCGTTTCGTTCCTTACCTTATACGGCACGACTTTTCGGTAGAGAGAGAGGCTAGAATGACCCTAAGTTTTAAACAATCAGATTAATATCTTTTCCTGGTTTCATTTCTTTTTGTGATCCTCCTGGAATGTATCTTAAGAACGATCTTATCTATATTGACTTAAACTGTCTACTGTTAACAAAATCAGTAGCTTCATTTCATGATAGCCCTTCCTCACATTTGAGCCGTAGTCATTACTTAACACTACGGACTTCTTAGGCTCACTTGAGTTACATGTTTGAAAAAGTTGCAGACAGAACAATTTGCTAATGGAAATGCTCTTATGGAGAAGGATTGTTTGAATATTATAGCCATTTGCACAAGAAAATTGTGAAATGTTCTGCACAATTCGATAAGATATGTACATTTTTGAGCCATTCAGTACAAGTAGTTGTATCGATATTACTGAAAGCAGATGTAGAATGCAAAACATTGAGATTGAAGTACAGCTATACTGTATGATTTAGTGAATGATTTATTGTTCGCCATTTTTAGATTATTATCGATACAGCTACAAGGATTTTCACTGATATGTTTAGCTTCTTAAAGTGTACATCACGAATCTTTCAGAATATTTTACCAATCTTTTTTTCTTCTATACTATGGTTAAGTATTTTACCAATATATCTATATATTAGGTTGATGCAAAAGAAATTGCCGATTTTCCAAGCCTTTTTTAAGGGCAACTTTTTTCCACCAATACTTCTTCTTTACAATAGATGTAGTATACCGTCGCGAAGCTGTTTTCATGCTCTATCTAACGGTGCTTGAAACGTGCTCTCATCCTCATCTGTTATAAAGTTACTGAGCTTCAAATAACCGCATCCAAATTCAGAATTTCATTGCTTTCACTTTTCCGGCCAGAATTCAAGCGCGTATCAATGGGATTTTTTCGAAAATTTAGCTATTGTATGTAATAGAAATTGTCTACATTATGCATACTTGACTGTGTTCTTTGATGCTATCCAGACTGAGATATCGGCGCCTAAACATGGGTAGCCGTTGTGGTCATTTTATGACCCATAATTTTCTTCTGAAGATGTCAATCGCCGGAGCTTTGCTCAATTCTGTAAGCGTAGGGCTAGGGCATCCTGTTAGCAGTTTTTTCAAAAACATCCAGCTGTTCAATACCTAGAAAATCAAAAAATTCTATATTCGGGACTTTCAGGCACACTGAAAAAATGTTCAAAAAGTGAGAAATTTCAAATTTCAATTTTTTTCTTTTTCGCAAACTTTTCTGTCCGAATTCTTTTTATTGCTTTTGTACTACTGGCTTGCGGCTACAAGATAGGCTACTTAACATTTATACTAACAAACTTTGAAAGAGGATACGAATTGTCAAAGACAAGGTTCCAGCAGAAGAACCTTTTTTATTTTTCAATCCATATTTTTCTGCCCGTTCGCGATATGAGTATAAATAAATGTGCGCTGCATTGCAGAAGGTTTGCTGCTTCTGATAGTTTTTACCGCATTCGGAAATGTAAATTCTTCCAAAAGTTATAGCACGTCAAAGTGAGAATTCGCAAATCGGCCATTACTTTTGCACCAACCTAATACAATAATATATTCTGTAAGTATGGTTGAAATACGTTTTTTCCCGGAAATCTGCTAATAGTGGCCTAAAGTTACCTCATAGATGAACAATTACGTGCAGTTGCTAAGCCTTATAAAGCAAAGATTGCTAAAACTCTTTATTAGGCTTACGTTTTGACTTTTCGAAATTCTCACTTTCCGCTACATTAGGCTCAGCAACTGTATAATTGTTCATCAAGATGCCAAGATTTACAGAAAGGCGAACTTGGAAGATTACTTTATAGAAACTGACAATTTCTTTTGAAATGACAAAGCGACAAAAATGTTTTCTATATCTAAATTTTGTAACTATTATCTTGTCTATAAATAAGTACATAACGATTAACAAATGTGGCTTATTCCGCTTAAACTATGCTTTTTCAGTCACTTTGAAACATGTAGTAATGACTTTATTAGTAGATTTTGAAATAAAAATACTAGAATCTGCATGGAAGGCTAACTTACATATTACTTTACATGTTCATGGTAGTGTAGAGAGCACTAACATAAATAGAATGAGTAGGCAGAAATTACTAAGTGTTCAAATTAGCCAACTTGAGTCTTGCACACATTGTCTAAAGGGCCGGGCATACTTCACGCAATTTCAGTCGCGACGCAGTTTGGCAATTTGCCAGAATTCTTCAGATTCAACACTAGCAAACTGCGCTTGCATAGTGTGTATACTTGGATTGATAAAATGCTATCTTCTGTACATTTGAAATGCGCTATCAGTAAGTTATGGAGAGTTGGAATATTGCCAAATCGCGTTGCAACTGAAATCGCGTGAAGTAGCCGGCCCTTGAATAGGCTTAATCGTGTGGTCAACAAGTTTGTATCTGTGATCACCTGGGATATTTCACTACCTAAATCCAGGTAAAAACAAGTGCAAGCTTGTGTGAACGATGTCTGCAAAATGGTTTTGAGTCTCTTAGTCTCAGCTTAGATATTATGTACATGTTTTTGCCATTCTAAAAGCTTTTCAAGGCACTCTCATTCTCATTGAGTTCCATGCCATTTAACGCATAGAAATGGTGATTACTCATTAGTGTCAATACCCAGGACCAACTGTGTGCTCTCATCTGCCAGGAAACACATCGCTGTGTGTGGTATGTGTATGTGTGTGTGTATGTACGTCTGCTCACGCTCTCTCATCTGTCGCTTAATTGCCTTTGAGAGTCAGTCGCATATCCCCTTCGGCGGCCTATCGATGCCACGCCTACATTTCTTGATTAAGTGCAGAATAGTGAGAGCCGACGGGTGTGTGGGTAGCCTATTGAGAGCTGAGCCAGCCACAGCAGAGCAGAGCGTAGAAGCTCGGCCAAGCTGCTATCGTTCATTCCGTACGTCCGCCTGTCTGCTTGTCATTCTTACCGTAATCCTACCATAACCATACTGGCCCCATTGCTGTGACACTGATTCCTCTGTTACTCATTCATTACTGCTATTCTCTGTTTATTTTCACTCTCTGCCCAAATTATGTCGAGCGCTGCCAGTCCACGCCATGCGATCCGCGTGGACTTGTCGCGGGCGACTGTACCGCAGCGCAGCGGACAGTCGCCGGTTAACGTGCGCAGACCGCAAAGTCGTCAAGAAAGTATAAAGGTATGCTGACGTTTTCATTTCAGATTTTACTCTTAAAATGCGTAAGAAAACTGTGTGATTACGGAACACCAGTCAAAAATGTTCGAAGCGATACGACGCTATTCTCAGGTAAGTACATTTGATGAGGTTCATGACGCATTGAAAAGAAACATAACATAATTTTTTGTGTACCTATCCATTTTCAACATTTTTGTCGAATACCTTTCATTGCAAAAACACAAAATCTATTTTATAAGAGAGGATCTGTATCTCAACGGTCTTGAAAATTTTTATCTTAAAGCCATCTATTTGGTAATGATCCCACATTTTTAACTCTAATTTCGTTCTTGATATTGTTCGTTCTCATCCTATTTTTGTCTCTCTATAGTTGAATCATTCGTAACTTAATATGTGCCTTTGCAATTACAAAGGTTCTTTTTTGTTTTTCCAATTCCTTAACTACCGCGTGCAGTGTTCAATTTCACATATCTATTATACAAATGTTCGACTATTTTCAAAAATTATGACTTAAAATATTGTTGTTTCTCCTCTCATCCAAATTCTATGCCATATTTACCCTTCAGAGCAAAATTACAATATTTCAAACTTGATTTCTGACCCATGGCGGCTCCGCACATAACCACCCTACCTCTAGTTAAGAAATCCTCTCAATTTTTAACACATGTGCTAAAAAATTGCTTTCAACAGAATTAGATCTTGATCTACAGCAATTTATATTTATCCAAGGACTTTCATAGCCAGGAAAGTTTCGTTTACGATTTATTAAAAAAAGCTGATTGGAGTACCCTTTAGGATAATTTGAAAGTAACTTAAATTGATAAGCTTGTATAACAATCTTGGATACGTTTTCTAACATCTGTCAATCTTATATTTCAAATTCCAAAATATTGTCGGGTTTTTGTACAAAAGTTTATGATAAGCTCTTTGTCTGAGTATTTGTAGTCTGCTCCGCGGTCAAAAACTCTTTTTTTATAGAAATGTGAATGAGTAAGATGGATACAATCCTAGTAGCCAAGTAAATGTCACCAAAAACAAAGCGTTATCGTAGCAAACAAACCAAAAATACATTGTAGACATGTGATTTTGCGCCTTGACATTGAACTAAAGTGATAGAGACGGCTTTAGCTTTCAACACGGATATATTGCGATCTTTGACAATATCTTGAGATTATCTGCAAGAGCGCCTACGCACTTAGCACAGAAAGCTCGTCTAGTGATGTAATCTGTCGAAAAACACTTTGCAATGATGTTTATAGCGTGTATGATGAAATTTTTATGAGTTCACATTGTTGAAGTTTCATATTGAATGTGCGGAAAAGGATTGGGTAAGGTAAAATGGGTTTTCGCAACGAAATCGTAAATCTCAAGCAGGACGTATGCTTCACCAGATGGATGGTTACGCTTACATAAATTATTATTCTGTCTTTCAAAACATGCATTATTCTTAAGCATGGTATCTGCAGAAATTTGTCCAAAAAGGAAGAATAGAAGGAGGAAGGGTGGAAAAAAATATGAGACTTTCACAGAATGGGAGTGGCGTGAAGCAACGTCTTCCCATGACATTATTTACTCTCATCTGTTTATTTTTATTTATTTATTGAATGCATGTGATGTACCCTTTGATTCAACTGGATTGGCAGCTGAAAGGCGGGACTTCGTGACTTAGTTAAGGCTGGAGAATGATCAGGGAGCACTCGCGAGAGAGAGATGCAGTGCGTAGCGAGCGCGAGCGGCCTTAATAGGTTACAAGCTTCGCCTCCCAGCCGCCAGTCCACTTGAATCGTTACGCCAAAAAAGAACAGCTCCACGAAACAGAGTAGGCAAAGTTAATAATCTCAAACATAAACCAATAAGTATTTCCACATCAACCGCATGATATGTCACCTCCCCTCACTATGACAGCTACTGTACGCTACTCAACTTCATCTGATTACTTAGTGACTCATATTCTTGACTTGCGTTGGTGACAAATATTGCGAGCCGCGAATTTTTTTTCTGACGTTTCCTATCTGCTGTACAACTCTCCGAGACAAATTGGGTTTATCGCATTGCTGTAATACATGGGTTATGGCGGACGGTGGAACATGAAAGTTTTGCATGTATACAAATCTTGCACGATTGATTCATCAAGCTGTGCTACTTAGTTACCTAGGTATCACATGTAAACTGCACAAATGGATATAATGTAAACAAAAGGCTTTGTACGACAATAACAACATAATGCAATATGGCTGGGCCCCGGTAAAGGCAGTGTTCCGGCAGACGTAACTTGGGGATATAGCTGCGGTCGGGTTCCTGGTCAATCTCCTAACTTCCAAACCCAGGCCGGCTGCTTAATGTTTTCCCTGCGCCGAGAAACTAGGCCTTGAACCGGTGCACACTCGGGTGGCTTTGCTAGGCTGTTCGGCGCGGGACCCCACGACAGCTCCCGCGGGGGGAGGGGCACGCGGAAGGCGACAATTGGCGAAAAATGGAGGCTGTGTATCATCCGTCTCAATGGCTTTCACAAATTTCTACTTGTGGCATTGAGTAATGTATCTGCCCCCACCTCCCACCCCCGTAGTCCCCCGGGTTGTCACTTTGACACCGGAGAGTTTCTGATAGGCACAAAACTGGGGATTGCCGCCTTCCGCACCACACCCGCTCCCGCATTGTGCATGCTATCCAAAGCAAAAATTACAGAGTCTTCGTGCCAGGGCCTCCCAGCTTTCTACTGAAACTCTTCCGACCTGCCCTTTGGAATTTGGGTAAACGCCCCAACGGTCTATTCACGCGGTTCAAAGCTCAGATTCGGGTTTTCTACATGTCGAAAAGGCCTGAAACATGCAGAAAGGTGTGCAAATTCTGCCGGAATCCTACCTATAAAAGATGGAAATAAATTTTCAATCGAAAAAAAGTTTGCGAGGAAAGGAAAATCTAAAAATTGAATACTTTTCCTTGATAGTTGAAACAAATTTGTCGGTGATCGTTTGAAGAGAGCGTTGATATAAACCACCTAGCAAAAGGTTTTAACAGTTCTCACCGTATAGCGCCATTGGCGGCTCTGCGATTTGGCAGCTTGCTAGATGTCTTCCTACGGCGTTCGCGATTTCCAAACTTTTCAATTTGAAGCAAATGCTTTACGTTTTGTATTTTTGAAACGCAGATATCACATTATAATCAATTGGAGCACTGCCAAATTGGTATTACCCTAAGGTATGCCCAGACCTGAGGCAACATATACCCAATTCGCAAGGCTCTCAGTCATTATGTCTAACCAGCCCTTTTTTGAATACATATTGTAGACATGTGATTTTGCACCCCGGCACTGGGTGAAGGCAATTCTTGACTTGCTGGAGTAAACAGGTGTAGTTGCTGAAAATACGTTCTTTTGCCTATCACCACGTTTACCAGCAAGCCAGAAGTTTACTATGCTAGGAGGTTTTTGTTCGCTCTACCCTACATCTTTGAAATGCGGTACTAGGCACAGTAATGCTGTCTTTTCGTTTCTTTTTTTCACCATTGAAATTTTAGAGAGAAAGTTTGGAGTTTTTTGGAGCCAGCGGAATTTTAGGATCTTTAGATCTTGACTTCCGTCAAAGAGCATGATATTTGCATTTTTACACTATCGGCGTCATATAAAGTAGGTCATCGAGTATAACTTATTCCACAATCAGTTAAAAGTACACTAGGCCATTTTTTATGCATGCGCATTAGAAACATTTGCGTAGGCAACGCACAAAGTGCATGCGTGCGCACTCACGCAGCGGACGCCCTAGAGTCGCAGAGATAATATAAATCGAGGAGACGCAGACAGCTACCGATGACTTTGCGTTGGTGCCTACGCGTTGGCATTTTGGGTTCTAGATTCTATTCACGTTTTTGATTGTAAAAGCGATCTTGCAAATGTTATTCAACAGCTATTATGTTTATATTGAAAGGTCAAATTATCATCTTCCCAATTGTAGTGCACTCTTTCCCCCAAAGATTGAAAATTATTGCAATCTAGTGTCAAATAATAGAATGCATTATAGATATTGACGTTTTTTTCTATTTAGCAGCTCTGAAACGCAATTATGTTTTCGAAAAGCTATTTTTGCGCATCCAACATGAATGCAACCTATTTCCTGAGTTAGCTACTAGACATCTTTGATTATCTCCTGTTGAAATTAGCATTCCTCGTCTTGGGGGAAGTGACGTTTGCTCATGAATGCTGTTATCCCATTACTTAAATGTCTTTCTGCTTCAAAGAGTGTTATGGGTAGGATCAATTAAACGAAAAGGTAGCATATAAGCCTACATTTTGCAGGTAACATTTACGATACTCAGTAAGTCCGGATAACATTCGCTTGCATTTCTTTTCTTTGCGAGTTAGTATCTATTCTGCTTTCATAAGCAAACAAAGTTTCAGTTAAAAAAAAAACTTAAGCAATATCTTATATATAAAGCTGAATGTCTGTTTGTATGTATGTCTGTATGTCTGTATGTCTGTATGTATGTACGTATGTTCCGAATAGAAAATTCCATTTCTTAACCGATCGGGACTAAACTTGGCACACATACACTTCGGGCCCCGGCGGGTGTCATAGGCTACTTTTCGTCATCGATCGATATCGATTTTATCGATTTTTTGCAAAATTTGAGCTACGGGGCTGGGAGTTGGCACAGGGGGGTAATCGAGCATGCTGATCACCCCCGTGGGCCCGAAGTGTATGTGTGCCAAGTTTGGTCCCGATCGGTTAAGAAATGGAATTTTCTATTCGGAACATACGGCGGAGCCGGGTAAGCCAGCTAGTTACTCATAGGACAATGTCATCTGGGAATTGATTGTAGTGAATAGTTTCTTCTGGAATAAAAGAGTACTACTATTCTTTTCGATGGTAAAGTATTTCTATTATTCTTTCCCATTTTTAGCACAAGCCTTCGAAGAAAGCGTAAACAGCTAATTTTTACCCACTCAATGTGTCCGTATGGACATAATGCTTACAATCACTACTTTCAGGGTTTTTCGAAGTTTTTCAAATGTACTATACTTTGATAAGAAAAATATCAAAGAAATGGGAGAAAACGGTGACCGAGGCAAAGAAAGTTGTATTTTTGCAAATCCTAAAGTCGTAATTTGAGAAAAA